AACTGTGGGGATAATAATTCCACTTCAGGTTTAAGGTTCAGGGCTTTAGCCCTAACTGGTTTGAGCGTTGGCCTGCGGACTGAAGGGTCCCAGGTTCGGTTCCGGTCAGGGGCATGTACCTTGGTTGCTGGCACATCCCCAGTGGGGGGTGTGCAGGAGGCAGCTGATATCGATGTTTCTAGCTCTCTATCCCTCTCCCTTCCTCTCTGTGAAACATCAATAAAGTATATTTTTTAAAAAAGGATCAGGGCTTGACAGATAGTAAGAGCGGGATAAATGTGAGTTATTATTTTTCTCTTTTTGTCCAGCCCAAGTCTCCTTTTGGAGTCCCCCCAAACCCCCACCGCGGGTCCAGCCACCAATCATCGCCCTGCTCCCTAAAGTCTAGCTTCAGTCTACTCCTCCGTGTCCTCGCACACGTTCCCTTCAACTATCTTCCAAAACCTAGGACCCACTGCTATCACCTTGGGCCTCAGGCCTCCATACTAACCCCCAAAACTGTCCATTTTCCACCCTGGCCTCAGAGGGAGCTTTCTAAAATGAAACTATGATCACCTCCCTTCCCAGCTCTAAATCCTTCAGTGACTCCCCATGGCCTTTGATAAATAAAATTAAAACTAACTGCTACGACTTTATTAATCACGAATGGCACCCCTTTATGTCAGTCTTGTTATCAACTTTATGAGACAATTCAAGATGAATCGATGGCCCAGGTCACAGAGCTCTCCAGTGGATTCCAAAGGCTATTCTTTGCTATGTGTACAAAGTCCAAGCAGCCTCACCCTTTAACTATTAAGGACATTGAGTGTGCAATTTTAAAACACTCAAAAAAGAAATTTCCAGCCCTGGCCAGGTTGCTCAGTTGGTTAGAGCTTTTCCAATGTGCCAAGGTTGCAGGTTCAATCCCTGGTCAGGACACATACAGGAAGCAACTGGTGAAAGCATAAATAAGTGGAACAACAAATCAATGTCTCTCTCTCTCTCTCAAAATCAATAAAAAAAATTCTTTTTAAATCTCCGGGTCCAGATAATTTTTCTACCAAAGGTTCAAAGAAGAATCAATACCACTTTTATATGACCTCTTCCAGAAAACTGAAGGAGGGAACACTTCACTTCCCAATTCATCATTACCAAGATACCAAGACCAGGGAAGGGTGGCCCAAAGACAGAACACTACAGACCATATCCTTCATGAACAGGGACAGAAAAATCCTTAGCAAAGTATTAGGAAATAGAATTCAGCAACATGTAAAAAGAATCATGCACCATGTCCATGCGGTGGTTACTCCAGGGAAGGGAGGTAGGTTCAGTATTCAAAAATAAATGTTATCCATCATCTTTAACAGGCCGTGGTGGGCAGAATAATGGTTCCCTAAAGATGTCCCTCTCCCAGTCCCTAGAATCTGTGAATATGTGAGGTTACATGGCAAAGGGAATTTGAGGTTGCAGATGGAATTACAGTTGATCAGCTGACTTTAAAATAGGGAAGTTTTCCCATTGTAATCACAAGGGTCCTTAAGTGGAAGAGAGAGTCAGGGAGGGAGAGGAGACAGTGGAAGAAGTTAGGAATGATCAGATGAAGTGAGGATTTTACCTGCATTGCTGGCTTTGTAGAGGAGAAAGGGGAGCATGAGCCAAGGACTGGCTGGAAGCTGGAAAAGGCAAGGGAAACATTCATCCTTTTCGGCCTCCAGCAAGGAGTGTAGTCCCGCCAATGCCTTGATTTTAGCTTCGGGAGATCCATGTAGGATTTCCAATTAAATGTGAGATAATACATTTGTGTTGTTTTAAGCCCCTAAGTGTGCTGTAAACTGTCACAGCAGCCATAGGAGACAAATGCAATGGCTGAAGAAGAAAAGTTGCACAATCATAGCAACAGATGCAGAAAAAGCACTTAACAAAATTCTACCCCAACTTATAATAAAAACTCTTAGCAAACTAGGACAAAGAGAGACCACCTCAACTTAGTGGAGAACATCTACAACCTTCAATTGACATTGTACTTAATGGTTAAAGACGAAATGCTTTCCCCTTAAGAATGAAAACATGTAATAACTTAATCAATAAGAAAAAATTTAAAAAAAAGAACAGGGGGTGGGTAAGAGATCAACCAAAGGACTTGTATGCATGCATACAAGCATAACCAATGGACATAAGACACTGGGGGGTAGGGGAGGCCAGGGGATTGTCAAGGGCGGGGGGAAAAGAGGAGACATATGTAATACTCTTTGTAATACTTTAAGCAATAATAATAATAAAAAAAAGAACAGTGCCTGGAATGTGGAAAGCATCGGTGAACTTCAAAGTTTGTAAATTCAACCAAAGTTTATTGAGTTTCTACTATGCATCAGGCACTGTGCTGAGCACTGTGAATACAAAAGGTGAGAAAGGAAGAGGAAAAAAAATGAATGTTTACTGAGTGTCTGAATAAATCACTATGGCAGGTGCTTAGCATCCATTATCTTCATGTTCACTTAGTAACAAAACAAAACAAACAAACAAAAAAAGAACAAAAACATGGCGCCCTGGCTGGTTTGGCTCAGTGGATATAGCCTCGGCCTGCGGCCCGAAGGATCACTGGTTCGATTCAGGTCAAGGGCACATGCCAGGGTTGCAGGCTCAGTCCCCAGTAGGGGTCGGGCAGAAGGCAGCCGATCAATGATTCTCTCTCATGATTGATGTTTCTATCTTTCCCTTACTCTCTGAAATCAATTTTAAAAATTAAAAAAAAAAAAAGAATGGAAAGATGTCCACTGTCCCCATTTTTTTCAACATAGTACTGAAAGTTCTAGCCAGTACAATAAGGCAGAAAACATAATAAAAGCAGTATAGGTTAGAAAGGAAGAAATAAAAATTAGCCTAATTTGCAGATGACATGATGATACAATGTACAAAATCCCAAGAACTCTACAACAAATGCCTCTCAATTAATAAATGAGTCAGTTCAGCAAGGTTGTAGGATACAGGATCAACACACAAAAATCAACTGCATGTCTGTATACTCGCAATGAATATGTGAAAATTGAGATTAAAAATTCGAAGGACAGGCCCTAGCCAAGTAGCTCAGGTGGTTAGAACACTGTCCCAATACACCAAGGCTGTGGGCTTGATTCCCAGTGAGGGCACATACAAGAATCAACTAATGAATGCATAAGTAAGTGGAACAATAGATCTATCTTTCTTTCTCTCTCCCTCGTTCCTCTCTCTCTCTCTCTCTCTTTTTTACATATATTTTATTGATTTTTTTACAGAGAGAAAGGGAAAGGAATAGAGAGTTAGAAACATCTATGAGAGAGAAACATTGATCAGCTGCATACTGCAGGCCAGAATGCTAAGTGGTTACTGCATCAACCATGCACCTGAAGGGTGGCAAGTTCTATTTCTGGTCAAGGGCACGTTTCTGGGTTGCAGGTTCAATCCCTGGCCCCCACTGGGTTGCATGCAGGGGGCAACCAATTGATCTCTCTCTCTCTCTCTCTCCTCTCTCTCTCTCTCTCACCTTCTCTCTTCCTCTCCCCTCCCTCCCTTCCACTCTAAAAATCAATGGAAAAATGGGTAAAGGATTAACCAAAAATAAAAAATGCACGGCTCAAAAAAAAAAAAAGGTTTTTGGGGGCTGTAAATAGGTACAGGACTTGTATGCTGAAAACTACACACGTGATGAAAGAATCAAAGATTTAAATAAATGAAGAGGCAGACCATGCCCATGGACTAGAAGTCTCGCCATAATAAACATGCCTTGTCTCCGCCAACTGGTGTACAAGTTTAGTGCAATTCCTGTCAGAAACCCAGCAAGATCTGGGGCTAGAATCTAGAGGTACGCACGATCCTTCTAAGGTCCAGTCAGCCTAACGGGCATTTCAGGCCTTCGTGTTATGTTCCCGTTGTGAACTCTCGTTACATCCCCTAAACACTCGGGCACCACACTCCTTCCTTCCTTCCTCACGTCCAGGCCTTTGCTGAAGCAGGTCCCTCCTCCTGGTGTAGTCACCCCGTCTGCTCCACACGGAAACGCTCCCGTGGCTTCCTCCCCGTCCCGTTCCGTGAGTCCAGCACAGCCTCCCTGCTCTCTGACCCCTGGGAGAGACGGAGAGTCCGGGATTTCCCTAGGATCATTGGACCTGCCCAGGCCCGCCCCGCCCTGCCCAGCACTGGCAGGGGCGGGAACCCGGGAGCTGACAGAAGAGAGGAAATTCCCTTGGAACCTGTTCCTCTGCTTCCTGGTCCCGCTTGTGCGCTGGAGGGAAGGCCAGGCCAGAGGCCCAGCCTGCCATGGCCTCGGCCCTGGGCCCACCCCGGGCCCCCAAGCCCAAGTGTGCCCTGCCCTCACACTACCATGAGAGCTTTCTGGAGAAGAAGGGACCCCATGACAGGGTAAGGTGGGGCAGGGAAGCTGGCCCTGCTGGGCTGCCTGGCAAATGAGGCACCTCTCTGAGCCTCGATCCGATCTTGCCACCTTGCCAAGGAGGGCGGGGTGCGTGCTGGAAGGGGCAGGGCAGGGGCTGGCGGCTAGGAAGGGTTGTGTCCATCTGTCCGTCTGTCTGTCTCTCTGACTCTTATTTGATCTCTTTCTCTTTCTCTTTGTCTCTCCCAGGCTGTATCAGTCTGTGTCTCTCTGGGTCTCAGCCGCTGTTTCTGTCTGTCAGATACAACCAGGATCAGGACTTCCTCGAGGAAATGAGGAATTAAATTAATTGGTTCCCCTTTCCCCAGCCCTGAACTTTGTGAACCTCAGCTGCAGGGGACAGGGTTAGGACAGGGGTATGTGGGGACAGGGTCAGGACAGGTGTATGTGGGGACAGGGTCAGGACAGGTGTATGTGGGGACAGGGTCAGGACAGGTGTATGTGGGGACAGGGTCAGGACAGGTGTATGTGGGGACAGGGTCAGGACAGGTGTATGTGGGGACAGGGTCAGGACAGGTGTATGTGGGGACAGGGTCAGGACAGGTGTATGTGGGGACAGGGTCAGGACAGGTGTATGTGGGGACAGGGTCAGGACAGGTGTATGTGGGGACAGGGTCAGGACAGGTGTATGTGGGGACAGGGTCAGGACAGGTGTATGTGGGGACAGGGTCAGGACAGGTGTATGTGGGGACAGGGTCAGGACAGGTGTATGTGGGGACAGGGTCAGGACAGGTGTATGTGGGGACAGGGTCAGGACAGGTGTATGTGGGGACAGGGTCAGGACAGGTGTATGTGGGGACAGGGTCAGGACAGGTGTATGTGGGGACAGGGTCAGGACAGGTGTATGTGGGGACAGGGTCAGGACAGGTGTATGTGGGGACAGGGTCAGGACAGGTGTATGTGGGGACAGGGTCAGGACAGGTGTATGTGGGGACAGGGTCAGGACAGGTGTATGTGGGGACAGGGTCAGGACAGGTGTATGTGGGGACAGGGTCAGGACAGGTGTATGTGGGGACAGGGTCAGGACAGGTGTATGTGGGGACACGTGTGTGTTTGTGTCTTGCTCAGAAAAAAGCCCCGCCTCTTGGTTCCCACTAAGGCCCCATCTCTTCCTTTTCACTCCCTACATTCATTCAGCTTCTCCTAGAACCCAAACCAGCCACCCCTGCTTTCCCAGCACCGTCCTGGCATTGTCACTGCCGTTCCCTCCCCTCTTCTTGTGTCTCCATGAGCCCGAGTTCCCTCCCGCCCAGAGAGCACCAAGAGGCCGTCACCTATCACCGTGGTTAAGAAAGACCATGGGCCCCATGGGAGACCCAGGTTCACATCTATGCTCCACCCCGTTCTGACCCCTGGGCCTACGAGTGATGCTCCATCCTCGTGCCTCAGTTCCCGCTGTAATAAAACGGGGAGGATAGGGCCATGGACACATTTACAGGACGGGGCAGCCCTCGGCCGGCCAAGGACTTGGCTCAGGACGAGCACTGGCTCTTTACATGAATTCACCCAGTTTTCACAACAGCCTCTGAGGCAGAGACCACTAGTATCACCATTTTATAGGTGGGGAACTGAGGCACAGAGCGCTTAAATAACCTGCCCAATGACACACAGCTGGTACATGACAAAGCAAGTCTGACTATACGAAGTTCAATCGCTTATTACTTTATTCCAACTGCCTGGAACAGTGCCTGGCACAGAGTAGGCCTTCAGTCGATGTTCGTTAAATGTATGACTATCTATGGATGGATGGACGGTTGTGTGAATAATAACTGTCAATAGAAGCACCATCCTCATTATCATTACAGACTAAAGCAATTCCTCCTTCAGGAAGCCTTCTCAGATTTTCCAGTTGGAGGGCTCCTCTCCTCCTCTGTGATCGCCTGGCCCAGGGTCTGTCCCTCTCCAGGGCCCTAGTTTTTCTTCCTGGAGGATCTCAGTATCTGTGCTTTCTCTATCTTCTGGAACAGCGGTTCTCAACCTGTGGGTTGCGACCCCTTTGGGGGTCGAATGACCCTTTCACAGGGGTCACCTAAGACCATCGGAAAACACATATATAATTACACATTGTTTTGTGATTAATCACTATGCTTTAATTATGTTCAATTTGTAACAATGAAAATACATCCTGCATATCAGATATTTACATTATGATTCATAACAGTAGCAAAATTACAGTTATGAAGTAGCCACGAAAATAATTTTATGGTTGGGGGTCACCACAACATGAGGAGCTGTATTAAAGGGTCGTGGCATTAGGAAGGTTGAGAACCACTGCTCTGGAACATGATATATTTAGAAACAGAAGTCATGTCCCACTTATTGTTTTGCCTGCAATAGAGCTGGTTGCTGCGAAGTAATTGCTCATGGAATGTTTGGTGAAAAGACCCTAGAATCTTACAATCTGAGCTGTATAGCCCCTTAGAAGTCCAGAGAATGTCTGAGCACCAGACCTGTGGTCCCTTAGGCCCCCTGTTTCTTTAGGGCATTTGGAGTTCAGAATCCTGGGGGGGAGGGGGGATCCTGAATCTGCAGACCTCCTAGAGTCCAGAACCTTGTGAAATTCTGAGACTATGGACTCAGCACCTATCTGATGACCTGGCACCTAGGAGATGCCAATAAATATTTGTGGGGTGGATAAGGGGCCAGGGAGATATATGTGTGTGTATGGGTGGCTAGATGGATGGGTAGGTGGGTCAACAGATGTAAGAGTGGGTGGGTGGGTGGATGGATCATCATAAATCCAGTTAGCGCAACTGACTCCTAGAACAGCCCCCTCCATAGACTGAGGGACTGTTTGGGTCCCCCATCCTATCAAGGTTCCCTTTGGTCATTTATCAGAGAATAACAGATCCCCAGAGGCTGGGCCATGAGAGAGGAGGGCCTCCCTAAGAAGGCAACATGTGTTCAAAGACCCAAAGCAGGTAACAAAGGAAACTATGTGAAGGTCTGGGGGGCAGAGTGTCCAGGCAGAGAGAACAGCCCTGAAAAGGTCCTGAGGCAGAAATGGGTGGGCTTGAGGAACCCAGCTGGCCAACTCCCAACCTTCTCCTTCTCCCCTTCTGTTCCCCAGGATTACAAGAAGTTCTGGGCCGGCCTCCAGGGCCTCACTCTCTATTTCTACAAGAGCAACAGGGACTCCCAGGTAAGGATGCGAATGTGGGCTCAAGAGCAGGCCCATCCTTGACCCCAGGGACCAAGCAGAGGGTATGGGTGGCGTGGCCAAACCAGGGGGCCTGAGGGACCGCAGGTCTGGTGCTCAGACGCCTGCTTCTGTGCCCCCAGCACGTGGAGAAGATAGACCTGGGCGCCTCTGTGAAAGTCACAGATGAAGCTCCCCGGAGGAACTCCCCTGACCCTGGTATACATTTCAACCTCTTCATCCGGAACCAGGAGATCAAATTCAGGGTAGGTCTCTTGGGGGGTGGGGGTGGGGCTAGCGGGAGAACCTGCTATCCCATCACACCCACCATTAACACACACCAGCAAGGAGTCACACAGAGTCTAACGCTGGAGTGTTGATACTGGGCAAGTCACTTGATCTCTCTGGGCCTCAGTTTCCTCAACTGCAAAATGGGATAATATGTATAAAGTACCCAGAACAAGATACAGTTCGCAAAGGTCGCCACTGCCATCATTCAGTCTGCCAACAAACATTAATGAGCACCTACTATGTACCAGACCCTCCTGTAGTTGCACAGCAGTGAACAGACAGTTAAAAACCCCTGCCCCTGTGGAGTCTACAGTCTCGTGGTGGAGGCACACAATCAACTACATCAATGTGTAAAATATATGGACTGGCAGATGGCAGCGGATGCTAGAGAGACAAGTGCTAAGAGAAAGTGAATTCAAAGGTCCTCAGACAGGCTGAGTGTGGCTGAAACAAGGGGAGTGAACAAGGGGAGGGAGGGAGGAGGTGAAGGCTGGGAAGGGGCTGGGCAGGTCATGCAGGGCCTTGTGGGCCACAGAGAGGACTTGCTTCTACCCTGAGGGGGGTGGGAGGCCTGGGAGGGTTTAAAGGATAAGGAGGTACATGATCTGAATTACTTTTTTAAAAAAATATATTTTATTGACTTTTTTTACAGAGAGGAAGGGAGAGAGATAGTTAGAAACATCGATGAGAGAGAAACATCGATCAGCTGCCTCCTGCACATGTCCTACTGGGGATGTGCCCGCAACCCAGATACATGCCCCTGACCGGAATCGAACCTGGGACCTTTCAGTCCGCAGGTCGACACTCTATCCATTGAGCCAAACCAGTTTCAGCCTGAATTACTTTTTTTAATGTTGGTATAACAACATTCAAGAATAACAATCCACATTAAAGGACTTATATTCAGACATCACCCTAAATGAACCTGCCTTAACTCATTTAATCTTCAAAACAGCCCTTGGAAACATGAACTGTTCAGTTCCTCACTCCCATTTCACAGATGAATAGACTGAGCCTAATCAACATGGACGTTTCCTTTCCTTCTCTCCAGGTGGAGAGCCTGGAGTCTCGGGAGATGTGGAAAGGCTTCATCCTGACAGTGGTGGAGGTCAGAGTGGTCCCCCCTGCCCCCCTATTCCCCAGTAGTCCTCCTCAGAAATCCTCTTTTTCCTTTCCATGCTTCACTCCCCAAATAAGCCCCAGAGCAGTGGCCGGCAAACTGCGGCCCCGAGTGTGGCTCTTCCACAAAATACCACGTACGGGCGCGTATGTACAGTGCTATTGAAACTTCGTGGCCACACTCAAGGGGCCAAGGAGCCGCATGTGGCTCGCAAGTCGCAGTTTGCCGACCACTGCCCTAGAGTCTCAAACAGGTCTCAAGCTGGCATTCTACAAACCGAATGTAGTCCATAAACATGTTTTGTTTAGCCAACGAAGTGCTAATTTAAAAGTCAGCTACCATCACATAAAAACCAGGATTTTAGTCAACATTCCTAATTGCTATTTTACTCATTTGTTTCCAACCTGACCCCTGCAGCCTGTAGAGTGAGACTACATTCTAGCTAGCACCTGCTCTGTCCTCCTCCCCATCACTGAAGTCTCTCTCCCTGCCTCCTTTCAAAACCTCTTTGCCCTTGAAGGGGTAGGGGCAGCTCTGGAGCCCCCAGACCAGGTTCCCATCTTGGCTCTGTCCACACTCTGCCTTCTGTGACATGGGCACAGCTGCCCATCCCACAGCTGCCCTGATCGCCCCTCAGCTCCGTGTCCCGTCCAACCTGACTCTGCTGCCCGGACACCTGTACATGATGGCCGAGGCCTTGGCCAAAGAGGAGGCGCGTCGCGCGCTGGAGATGCCCTCGTGAGTACCCTGCCTAGCAGAGGGCCTGCGGGGTGGGCGTGGGCTGTGAGTGGGGTATCCGGTCCGGTCTTACGGTTCGGACTTGGTGTTTGGGGGCTGGTCTGGGCCTCCAGGGGAGGGTCTAGGTGCCTGGAGGACCGGACTGTGCGCCTCTGGAAACGAAACCGGGGGCTGGGGCAGAGCAGGGTCTCCTGGAGGAGGGGTGAGGTTGTGTCTCCGGAGGCGGCGATTCTCGGTGCCCTGTGGAGGGTCAAGATCTCCGGGGGCGGGTCTAGGTGCCTGAAGGCGTGGCTGGTGGTCCGGGACCCGGGAACTAGCGGGAGGGCGAGACCTGGTGTTGCAAGCGGGGTTGTGAGCGGGCGGGGCTGCGTCCAGGGCCCGGGTACGTACGGGAGGGCGTCTGGGTCTCCGCGGGACAAGGCCTGTCCGGTGTGAGACGCGACCCTCCCCAGGTGCTTCATGAAGGTGAGCCGGCTGGAGGCGCAGCTGCTGCTGGAGCGCTACCCCGAGTGCGGGAAGCAGCTGCTGCGACCCAGCGGGGACGGCAAG